TTGCAGCCATACTATCCCTCAAAAATTTATATTTAGGAGCAAAAGCTACCATTAAAGGCTGGAGGGTAATTTGTCAGGTACCATTCAAGCCGTGAACATTCTATCTCTCACTTTAAGACTTGGCCATGAACCAGGACAGGATTTACCATGTGTTTCCATCCAACTAATCAGTGATCCCTAGGGAGAAGGCAGGGACCTACTGGTAATTCATCTGGTCTAGGCTCATTCCTAAAATGGGATTTAAGTTCAAGCCTTCAATTGTGAACTAATGAATTAAGCAGATGACTGGTGTAACTGAAACCAGCTACAGAAAAAGAAGAAAAGGCATCCAAACTGCTAATGTGACAAACACATCCCACTAGGGGAATTTAACTAGCAAAAAGCATATAAAAACACAAGGAAATAACATTACAAACTTCCCTCAAAACAAGTAGCCCCACAGTGTCATTCTAGGTACTTCAGTGTAGCCTTTGTCTAACCAAAAACTCAGTGCCTATTGTATGATGGACATCACATGCCCCTTAAATGGTCCCAACTGGATTCAATGGTTTTGAACCAAAGTATGATCAAGGTGCGAAGGTCAGTTGTGGCAGAGGTCTACCCTAAGAAACATAGGAAGCTCCACTTTCAGGGCTTGAACCCTAACAACTCAAGGCTTAATTTAATGAAGCCATATAAAACTTTAATGATTATGAAGCACTGACACTCTTCTCACCTAACATAGATTTTACTTATTATAAAGCACCAATACTCTTCTCACTAACCCCACATACTTTACTGATAATGAAGCACTGAAACTCTTCTCTATTCTTAAATTTGGTAAATAAGAACCCATTAATTTTCATTTAAATATATATTTCTGTATGTTTAGTGCTCATTAAATGTTGAGGCATGCCATCCAGTAGCCATGGGCATCACACAGCATACATTTGAAGTGGGAGGGACCCATCTGTTTCAGTGAATTCTTCAACATGTAACTCAATAGCTAAAATTTGACTAGTGGTTAGTTTGTACTGCAAGGAGTCATTCTTGTACATTGTAAAAAGTAAAATCTAACATTTAAAACCATACCAAACTCCGATCTATTTGTGGAGCAACGCACTGTAACTTATCCAATGAGAACAACCACACCCAAGCCAATATGTTTGACCTGCATAGTGCTTTTTAACTGAAACTTATCTTTCCAAAAGTGCTTTAAAGATAAGGTGGAAGCATTTATCATAAGTCTTCCCTAAACAAGAAGCTGGATGAAAGCAAGTGGTTGATCCTAAACTCCCAATTCTGAACTGAGCCTTCAAGTGATTGAAAGAATGTGCACTGCTAGTATGGTACCTGACTTATTACAGTATTGTACTCTTCAGCCATCAGTACAAAATTTTGCTTTCAAGTATCCATTTTTTAAGGATTGGGCTGTTATTAAGAAATTAGAACAAGCAGGCACCATCTTGAAGTTTCTTGGGTACTGACCCTGTACACTTGCCTGGATCATCTGCTCTAGACAATAGGTCATAAAAAATCACATCAAGTACTTTTTTATATAACACTACAACAACTACGGTAATAAAGCAAACATTAATATAGGATTTTACTAATTATTAAAAATGCAAGCATAACAAAGATCACACTTATATTATGCAAAAAAAAAAAGTCCCAGAATTCTTTAGGAAAGTTATTGAAACAGATGACTATTAAACTGTATCACCAGTTCAGTCAAAGACGAAGGTAAACAAAGGATATAGATAAGTACTGTATAACAACAGCTGAGAAATATACTCAAAGGATTTTGGGAGAATCTCTTGCCTAACTGACTTTCCTATTACCATAATCGACTTAACTACAGAGCCAAAACTATGATTCTGGCACTGGACAACATATATACATGAAAATGGGTTCTCAGAATCCTTTGATATTACTTATAATTATATAAGCTATATATCTTAGGATGAAACGCTGGACTAGTTAACAACATACTGACAACACTACAGTACAGTATACTTACATTTATGTGACTAAGACAAAGTACTGTTTGTCAATACAAAACATTTTCTGTTTGTGCCCCATTGTGGCCATAGTAATGTACATGTACATAAGGAAGATACTTTCAATAAACTAGATGAATATCCCTGAATAAAAGTATCTTCAATAGCTTCTGTAAACTTATGATAAACCTTGAGAACAAAAAACTTAATAATATAAATGGTTTAACTGCAGAGAAATAACTATGTAGAGGACTTTCTAAAACAAGAAGACACTGAGATTATCAATTATGACAAAGTATTTTGACTTCAATTCTGAAAAAACCAATAATCAGTTTTTGAGTAAAATAAGATGAAAGTTTACCAAACTTCATTTCACACTATCTAATTAAGTACATTCATAATGTTTTACACCATAGAAAGCTGGGCCATGTGGTGTTCATCTACTTCTATTATACTACAAAAATAACTGAGACATTATATTCACACAAGTTCAGGGAAGAGTTACCGGGTAGTACTTTTTTAGGACCGGTGAAGAGTGGAAAATAACTATTTCAGAATAATAAAAATACATAATTTAATTTGAGGATAAGTAACATACACAATAACAACTTCTCAATACCAAAATGGTATACAGTACAGAGGGTCCCCCAAATTCACAGGGGTTAGGTTCTCAAAATGGCCGCGAATCGCCAAATCCGTGAAAAACATTTTTACTTGTGCACAAATAAATGTACTGTATATTCCCTTTATGTGTTTGCCTTTAGGACAATTATTAGGACAATTATTTCTTTTACCTGTACAGTATTATATATATATATATATATATATATATATATATATATATATATATATATATATATATATATATATATATATATATATATATATATATATATATATATATATATATATTATATATTTCATGTAGATCAACAATGAAAACGTGGATAAGACAAATCTTGTAATCCAGTTGCCTCTGAAGATGTCTTGAATAAAGACGAAAGTTAAGGTGCTCCGTTGTTTCCCTTTTCCCGTGTGATTTTATCGATATATATATATATATATATATATATATATATATATATATATATATATATATATATATATATATATATATATATATATATATATATATATATATATATATATGTGTGTGTGTGTGTGTGTGTGTGTGTGTGAGTGTATAAACACACACAAAATGCATGCAAATAAATAATAATGGGAAAATCCTCTCACAAATAATCAGAAACAAATTTATTAAAAATGTGACAGTCTACCCTAAAGTTCCGTGCATTATTAATAAAGTAATAAAGCACGGACTCGAGGATAGACTGTCACATTTTTAATAAATTTTTTCTGATTATTTGTGAGAGGATTTTACAATTATTATTTATTTGTTTGTGTGTGTGTGTGTGTGTGTGTGTGTGTGTGTGTGTGTGTGTACACATAAACACATATTTACAATACAGTACAGGTAAAGAAAATTACCATCTCTAGAACAAATGGCTCCCTCCCACGAAAATGCTGGCAACTTTAAAACTACAATACCCACAGACATTCTTGGGTACATCCAAGGTGTCATCCCCGAATAATAGAGGACCGCAAAATAAAAATCCGCGAACTTGGGGGCCACCCTGTAATTGTGAAACAGGAAAAGGGGCTACTGTAGGTTACAAAATATAGGCTCCACAATAGAAGAATAAGTTAATAACTACAGTATCACCAAAATATGAAATGTGGTGAGCATACATAAGAATACATTATTTGATTTACAGTGAATACTGTAAAATTGGCCTTGTTACTCTAGAATATATCTCACCAACCAACAGATCTCATTGCTACTATCACTAATGTCAACAAAGTTAATCAAATGCAATGAGTATAAACAGTAAAACATTGAGGCATAAAATCTCATTTTATGACCAAAGGCCAAGTTGAGTAACCTGTGAGTTGTCACCACACTGATCATCCCATGAAGGTGGTTGATGTACCAGGGTCTGATCACTCAGCAGCATAATACATTATTTGTGTGAATAATGCAACTACTGAAAAACAGGTCTACCTAATCACACCAGGAGCATTTTAACTCTTTACTATACCATGGACGCCCTGATGAGTTAATATTTTCCCGTCTGCGTCTGTATATCAGATGACAGAATGCATAAATTTTTTGCTGATTTTTCACGCGAAAAGCCAGGGTCTAATCGCAAAATTATTGCATAATTACCCCAAAAATTTCACAAACGGTGAAACTGGTATAATGTATCATATGGTTGGGTGGGTATACTTTATTATACAGTAGAACCTAGGTTATCCAGCACCTACAGGAATTGAGAGATGCCAGATAAAGAGATTTTCCAGTTAGTTGAACCTCATTCTTAGGATCCCCCAATAAATCCTATATCGTAATGCGGTGCTACAGGCTGACCTCGCAAATTTGTCTCAGAAAACAGACTTTTTTAACACATATTCCACTCAATAAAAATGATGTGACTTAGAAATAAAGAAAATTATAAAACTATAAAATAAGAAAAATGAAGAGCATAGGTGTGAACAGAATGTGTGTGCAGGAAGTGGGCTATAATTGCGTGGCCTACTTGACAGCCCCGCCGCCTCATATATTGTTACATGTAATGAAACCTTAAAAGTTGTAAAAAATCATTACAATACTCTAATGTCGCTGAGAAATAATGAAAAAATAATATAAAACTATAAAATAAGAAACATGAAGAGCACGGGTATGTATGTGTAGAGACGGTGGGCTATAAATGCATGGCCACACTCCCTCCTGATGTGACATCATGGCATACACATCTGTGAGGCAGCAGGTTGACTGCCTGGCTGAAGTGAATCACATCATCCAGAGGATGGTTTGAGTGTGGAAAGAACTATTTTTTGTACATACAATATTGTATTTTATAAGCTATGTATCAATTTTATTGTTTATCATAGCAATAAATATGGCAATCTATCTGCATTGTGCATGGTGTTCAAACTTATGATTCAAGCTTATTTTGGAGGAATTTTTATTGTTTTTTTTTTCATTTTGGCGCGACTTAGTTGAATCTGCCGGCTACCAGGACTCCAGATACCTGCACTCCAGTAAGAATATAAGTTTTATGAGTCAATGGTCACCACAGAGTTGAAATGCACAAAGTATATTGAAAATATATTATGCTGCATGATCAAAACATAAAATAATTAATAATTGTATGTTTTCTGGGTGAAAGACCAATTATTTATTATTAGTTGCAAAGATATTTTTGAGTTGATATTCACCACAGTGAGTTGAAATGCACATACTGGTAGTATAATGAAAATATGTTATAACTAATGCATGTTAAAAACATAAAATAATTTATAAATGTACATTTTTTGGTGAAAATTGTATCCCATTTAGAAATTACATAAACATTTTGCTCTAAGTTTTTAGTGCCATAAATTTAATGATAGCCCGGACGGAAATATTGATGCACTAACTGGCAACTCACTCCCATATGAGTGGGGGACTGCTGGCTCGCTTCACACTACAGGTATGTAGGAAAGTGTTTAGATATCCAATGTTGTCATGAATGAAGAGTTTAGGTCAGGAGTTCAACTTTCAACATCCCAATGCATCTTATAAATCCCTGAAACTTAATGGTGGGCTTTAGAGATGAAATCCCACAGATTGAACTGATCCAGTGTGAATCTTTCGGATGAGGGAGCTAATCTACATCACTCATTTCAACCTTCAGCCATAAAATTGGAATTTTGTCTTTCATGCCTTCATTTATGGCCCCCAGCTATTGAGTGAATGACCTACGAGATCTAGGATCAGCTGAGTATTGGAAGGCGAAGGTCATGCCTAAACAAATGCACACCAACTAATAAGTAAGCAGAACTTAGACAAACATTTGTTACTTCCAATAGCCATAAAGTCTGTGCCTGGATGGTCTGCCACCTTGAGACATTATATAATCTTCCACCATTTCAATGCAAAAGAAATCTTCCACAAATAATTTAATAAAAAATCCTTGACTTTCACAAACTGTACAAGCCTAACCTTTTCCAGTCTCCCAATACAAAAAGTTCAGTTTAGTAAGCAGAGCAAAAGGTAAAACATATCACCCTGACACAAAGGCCCTTGATAAATCATACTAATAATCATGAAAAACAGAAGTAACCTCTGTGAAAATCTCATATTCCCCCTTAGTCTCCTATTTTAACCACTACCTTAATAATATAACTTGGCATTACCTAGACTTTCTTAGCCCTTAAGAAATCTGGAAATTAGTTACGTGTTAAGTAAAGATCAATCATCCAAAGATACAATGCATAAAATCACTCAGAACCTAATCCAATAAGAACTTCATACAGTTTCAAAATTATTGTTTGGTACTCAAACAAGAAGCATACCATTCCTTTCTTTTAAAGCTCCAGCCTCCAGTAAATGGAAACTCCTCAAGTCTGTCAATGTATGTGGACTAAAACCACATCTCCACATCGAAGTTCAGCCTCATTGCATTATTGTAGTCATTTAAGACTTCTGATCCACAGAAGACATGCTCAAGGTCTAGAAATCTTTATTGACCCCTTATGTCTCAAGAACATGAAAGGTCCAAGAATATTAATTACAGTATATGAATAACAGCTCATTTGCTATAAGTAGCAGATGATCTAAGACTCCTTTTTAAATGTTGAATTCCATGAGACAACAGTAGAGAGTATAGTAATTTCAAGGATACTGATACTTGTTGATGGTACAGAGGAAGTGTTAATGAATGTCAGTGGAGGGTGGAAATTATCTTAGTTATGGGAGACATCTCTATATCATGGTGACACTGTATGTATGTTATTTGTACACCACTGAGCTTAGAATATCCTTGGGAACAGGAAGCATTGTGGCAACTGCTAAGGTAAAATGACTGGCATACTGGTGAAGGTTGGCTTACACCCTGACCCAAGCTAAATGTTGGCTGTCGAGCTCACAATCATGGTTCAGGATACAAGGTGCAGTGGATTGCTGAGCATTTTACTCCTGAACTAAATGTGGTACTGACCATGTAAGCATACAGTACACCACACTCTTTAATACCTCAAAAGGTCCCTGGCTTGACTGGATGAAGAGCTGTTTTATAGTAATTTTATTATTTACATGACTATGTCCTCCAGCTAATTGATCACATCCTATGCCTGGGATTTCACAGATTATTCAGCATAGGGCCAATGGCCATAAAAGCCCAGCTATCCTGGCAGTATCCCCCCAAAATAAGGTACAACTATAATAACTAATGTGCTTTTCATAGTGTTCAGTAAGGCTGTAGAAGCAAACAGACATGACTAGATGACATTAAGAACATGAGATTTTAGGTACCCTGTAGCTCTGGCCATACCCAGAAAACAAAATTTCAAATGAGGTGAGCATCCTGAATTTTAGAGAAATAGAAAAAAGTATATACAGTAAATGAATACTTTCTCAACAAATAGCAAATCACCTGAGTGTTCAAAATACATAAAAAATTTATTGTTTAAACTAGACAGTAAAGCAAATTCCAACAAATTCAACTTCCTAACATGTACGATCTACTATAATCCAATTATGTGCGCCTATTTGTGTGCAAATAGTGAAAAACTGTGATTTTTTATAAAAAAAATTAAGTTATTCTTTACAAAAACTAATGAATCACTTGAGAATCAATTTTCAACATTGGTCATTAGAGCAATGGAGATACACATATCTAATGCAAAGAAGAGACATGCAAATTATTAGTAGCAACAGGGCCTATATTCAAAATGCAGTGAAATTTTGCAATACCCAGTACAGGTTTAATAGAAGACTTCCCACTCATGCAGTGAACATACATTCAACTACAAATTCTATTGATTCTTCCATAGTCCCCATGATCATTTGTGCCTATTACATTTCTAATGCCCTTTGTGCTCCTCTTCTTTTATTGTACTTAAGCTTCAGCCATAAGTAGACCATATATATTGTCCAAAAAGTAGTCTGCATAGAAGAAATGATAAAACATAATGAGATGTATACATGTGCTGCCAGTGCATCATTGAGATCAAATAGACCTCTTAAACACAGGTTTAGGGTTTATGACTAAGCACTAAGAGAACAACAAATGAATCTAGACAAAACAACAAACATAATAATGTATTGGTTATTCTTGTGAATGCTAAAGTACTGACGATCCTGTACTGTATTATACTGCCATTTATATCTCTCACACTAGCACCTTTCCTAATTCTATAAACCATCCATAATCTCACTGGAATCAGGCTCAACAGTCTCTTCTATTAAAGTGTCCCGACACGTTCCCAAATGCCGAGCATTTGGATCCACTCCACGGAGAACGGATAAAATTGTATTTACAGATTTCCGAGTTTTGATATTGATACGGTGGTTTTCTGGCTCAAATTCTACATACCCCATTCCTTTGCGTCGTAAACGTTTGAGAAGTCGACGTTTCTGCTCATTTGGAAAAACCATCTCAAACTGATGAAGCTGAAAAGCAAAAGTAATAATAATGATGACAAAATTTATTGGAAGAGAAATAAAAAATTTCACCTCTCTATAGTTAAATGCATATACAGTACCCTGTAAATAGAAATTCTATTCTTGAAACAAAGTTACTTACTCCTCCTCTGCCACTCTGTGTTAGGCGAGACAAGAATTTTTGTTCTCAAAATATATAGGATTCATACATCTACCTATTATCAAATTACTGCATACTGTATTTATTCTTCAATACTGGTCTAGTCAAGAAAATGTTGACTGTAACATAACTAATCACCAGAAGGGTATGTTATCCAACTAGAAAGCAAATGAATGAGACAAAATGGTTTGCTCATATTAATTTTCTGGTTCACATTTGCATACTGTACTATCATGCCACTATATTATGTTTTACCAACAGAACATCCTCAGATGGCAATGTGTTAATTCATCACTCCCTTTCAAATGTAGAATCATTCACCTTCTTTGTCAAATTCTTAAATTACAAATTTTTTGCGTTTTAAACCGTCTCCATACACTGTCATTTCTATTAGTTTCAATGATTTCCTCAGCCATTATCATCATTTTTATCCCACAAACATTACACAATATATTAATGTACAGTACAGTATGTAGATTAGCTGGGGAAGATTTAAATTAGGCAAATGAAAGCTAAAATCATGAAAAGTGGGTTGGGTACACAAACTACCATTTGCAGAGTTTGTGAATAGGTACAGTATAACATCAGTTGTTAGTGCAATAGTTGTCAGAATTCCCATCACAATAAACATGGTATATGATGTGGATATGTTTTCATTTTTTTTTAATACAACCTGAAGCACTCTGAAGAACTTACCCTACATGGTGTTAATCGCTGATGTCTTGTTAAACATGTCCGGTGATTAGAATTCGTGAGAGTTTGTCCTGCAGGGGTCTGGAAGTTAGGATCATTTATCTGATAAGCAGAGGCAGCATTGGTAGTTGGCACAGATGTACTATCAGCAGCTTCACCAACACCACTGGCCTCACACCACTCCTGATTGACTAATCCACTCTCTGCAAGCACCTGTTGAAATAACCCATTTTTACAGCTAAATGAAGGAATTGACATAAGCACCCACATATATCTTGTTAAAGTACTGTAGTTGTACCCATATTTCAAGTGGGTGTGAAGATGCTGGATATCAAGTATTCAGTTATAACTGCTGGTCACTCCCAGAAATCTTTTAAGTAAGATATGTTAAGACATCTGTGTTGGGTGAATGTCACGCATGTACTTAGTAGATGAATTATACTGGGTGAGGCAAGGTTCCAATATGGCTATGAAAATTGACCCAAGAAGTTACAGAACTCTAATAGTTTTACCTTTATGTTACACAAATAAATTAATAATCAATGATTCTTTAAAAACAAGTACTGTACACAGTATTGCAGTCAAATAAATATATGAAATTTACTTACTAAACAAAAAACTGACAACCACTAACCTGTTGTATGTCATGAAGAGTATTCTCATGCGCTTGAGAGAAAAGCTGCTCTCGTCTGGACTGGAAGTCCTCACTCTGTGTTGCCTCATCTCGTGGTGGGTCCCCAAGAGTCCGTTCAAATACATGATAGACTTTACTACCATCAGGACGGGGCTTTGCATCACTAAACAATACAGCCTCAGGACTTAACATGATGACACCATCATACTGGGGTTCTATAGTCACTGCTTCATCTTGCAGAGGAAGCATATCAGAAGCTGGAAGCATTATAGTGAGTGTGTTGGACTCCTCCAGCCGCTACTACGAGGACCACACCTACATTCTCGTTATCACCTAAGAAAGAAAAAGTTATCAAGTGAGGATTTTCAAAACAATTACCTTAGTTATTTCAAATACATAACATTTATGTTGTTTTAAGTTTCTTTATGTCCACAATTAAATTAAATACAGTACTGTACATAATAAAAGCTAACACACTTTGCAGACAGTAAAATTTATTAAACAAATCACAGTCCTGTTTAATCTTAACAATTCAATAGGTCTTCTTATGTTTTCTGCATTAGAGAAATCATTTAAAAGTGTATGCAAAATTATTAAAATAATGATTATAACAACATTTAACTTTATATGGCAATATTTTACTGATATAAAAATATAAACCAGTGCTACATAACTTGAAATTATTAAGGTTAAGAAGTGCCGATAAAACACAAAGAATGAGAATTAAAATGCAAATTGAATCTTAGCTAAGGTATACAACAGAATGGCCACCACTTTCCTACTCTAAATTTACAGCCTTGCCTCAATCTAAGAAGTCTTATGTATCTACTGTATGTATCAAGCCTACAGTTTGCAACCCAGACCAATCGTTGTACTATTTGAGAATAAACCCATCTCAACTGTAACCTCAGTGAATACCTTGGACTGACTCTTGACACTTGTTTGACCTGGTGATTTGATTCTATATAATATAGTTAAAAATAGTAATGCCAAAATAAAAATTATCTATAGAAATGGTAAATGCCTCTCAGCTGCTGCCTGTAGGACCTTTTGTTTGGCGCTCATACAATGGCACTTGGATAATTCCTGCTCAACATGGTACTCTGCCTTAACACAAAAGCTAAAATCCAAGGTACAAATTTTTCAAAACAAGGCAGTAAGGATTATTTTTAACATGAAAGTAAGACATCACGTTGATTACAAATTTCTTCAATCACTAAACATGCTAAGTGTGATGGATAGAGTGAAGCAACTGAGGCTGAATCAAGCTTACAGGATTTTCAGTGGACTGTGCCTAGAATATTTATCAACAAACTTTGCAAGGATTAGGGATATGAACCAGCAGGCCACTAGAGGGAATGAACATAATTTTATGGTACTTGGTGTCAGCAGTCAAGCAAAAAATACTTTCTTCTTTAATACTATATCAGCCTGGAACAAATTACCAGACCACATCAAAACCAGTTACAGTATTAAACAATTCAAGGCTAAAACAATAAATACTGTACACAGTAGATGAAGCTCCAGCAAGAGAAGAGAGTGAGACTTTATATTATTAAACCACAGAACGTAAAACTGTGGTAGTGATTCACCAGCCTCGGATAGACCAAATGCAATGTAATGCTTGTTGAATCTATCAAATAAACTTTCACTAATACTCCTGCAGACTTACTATTACTGATGAGAGACCAAGCATAAGCCAAAGCAAAGGACCCTCCTGGAAATAAGCGCCTGACAGCTTTGTCGGTTATCCTTGGCCAAGTTGTTTACTGTTTGCCATTGTTGTATACCTGAACTATCTCAGCACACAGGAAACTATACTCCCATGTGCTTACATGCACTGTATACCTACATTCTCTATATTTATGCTGAACTGTATACCTGCATAGTTTATAAATATGCTTATCCAATTGTAAACTTATACGACAATTTTATTGAATAAATATAATGGTCATAATGGAGAAGACAGCTAACACCAGACAGAGTTAATTTTTTCCACAAATGTTGTTTGGATGACAGTAAATAATAAAAACGATATGACAACTTTTTTTCTTTTTTTTCTTCAAATTTCTCTATGATCATAAAACACCTGTCGTGAGCAGGGCATAAAAGACGTGGGCAATTACAGGGTAAAACATGCCACAAAACTGATCATATGGCAACAACTTGAGATCTCTACATAATTTGTAGGCCCCCCAAATATTTTGTTACCATAAATATTACGCCGATAATTCTCCCACGGTGCTGCGTATTGTCGTCTTGTCGTAAACTATAAATATGTGATTTCGGTCTTAGTAAACATTAAAAGCAGCAACAGAGGCTCTCATCGGGAGTTTTATCACCAAATATATTGGTTTGATTCTCTTTTATTTTCAATTCCATAGGCTTCACTTTCCTGGTTTTTTGCATGTGGTCTTGAGCCTATTCTATATTTTGTATAAAGGATGAGAATCAAATATATACTATATTTGGAATTGAATCCCATATTATAATGGATCTGGATACATTTCCAATCTAATTCGAATAGCATTGGAGTCTAAGTGAACTGTTTGTTCATATATGGGTAATATTTAACTTGTTCCCACTAAACGAATCTCGGTAATTTTATACAGTAGTTGCAATCAGTAATTTTGACAATTCTAAGACACCTTTCCTCATTGGCATTTCTGGCGCAATTTACATTTAAACGATATATTTAACATTTTATTTTGTGTTCGTACATGGTGGTACACACCCAGAACATCGAACGACTGTGGAGCTCCCGGTTAGGTTAGGCTCAAAATTATTTTCCAAAGCAAATATCTAGATTTTGAGATGGGAGGGGGTGGGCTATCTCAGAAACTATTAATTTGCGCCAGAAATTAAGGTAAAATACGTTCATAACACATAAAAAAACACGGGAAAAACAGTTTCAACTTCAATTTCTTATCATGGCAAGAAGTGAAAATTTACCCATTTATGTACTTACTGTTCTTCCTCTAAAAGGACGGAAGAAGAAAGCCATGTTTTTAAGGGCGTTGTTACCGTATCGTGTTTGGTATTGTATCACAAGTTATCTGGGCTTGTGGAGGATGAAGAATTCCAAGAGATCATCTGTAAACATAGACCAGTTGGCAGGACGTGCAAGTGTTTCAAAATGCGCCAGAGAAATGATAGTGACGAAGAAATAAGTGTTTCAGTGCAACAACCAAATTCATTGCACCGTTACATAAAAAAAAAGTAAAATTAAATCATTGGTACCTGATGTCAAAGTAAGTTCTTTCGGTATTATTTTAGTTTTGGTCATCCGAGGAATCTTAGGAATTAGGTTAGGTTAGATTAGATATCTAAGCTACATTTTTCTAATGGTTTTTGATGTGTTTTGAACAATTTGGACCTTCATATCTGTCGGAAATCACATTGTTTGGATATCTAAATACAAATCCAGGAAAAAAAGTCATAAGAAAAAAGGCACGGAAAAAACCTAACCTAACCTAATCTAACCTAACCTAACCTACCCGAACTTAATCTAACCTACGTGCAATGCCATCATATATATATATATATATATATATATATATATATATATATATATATATATATATATATATATATATATATATATATATATATATATATTGTGTTGTCAATGTGTACAAGTCATGTGACCTTTTTTCCTGTGACTTTATTTCCATTCACCCTAAATACAGGGATGACAAACTAAAATTTTACTGTTCTTTCTGCTTAATATGCTGGGGAGTCCAGTGGACTCTGCCCCCTGCTTAGGAAGGTAGGTAAGGTTAGAAAGGTCTGGTTGAGTTAGGTCAGGTTCTATTAGGTTCTGTGCATTGTCGTACCATTTTTAATACTTACTGCCATACAATCATCCAAACAACATCTGTGGAAGAAATGGACAAAATCAAACAACTGCTTCTGGTGTTAGCCATCTCCTCCACTGCTAATATTATTATTAGTGTAAGTCATGCAACTTGAGAGTCCTAAAGCTCATTTATTACTTCTTTGTTTTCATTTATTGAAGTGAGCAAACATACAAGGACCATTATAATAATTACAATGTGGCCTTGACTGTACTTGGCCTTGGAATATTTTGGCATATCTATAAGATTTAAATCATTTAACTCATCATCGGTAAAGATATAATGAAGTAAAGGGGCACCTAAAATAAATCCCGAGTTGCCAGTACAGTAGGTTATTGTAGAAAAAAAAACGGAAACAGCTGATTTGTGATAAAATAGCTGTCAAATATATAACTAGGAAAGCTATTTCCTATTCGGATATTCATATCATTAAATATACTGCAGTATATTTATAAGATTTAATATATCACCAAAGACAATTACAAGTAATATATTGAAAAAAAAAACTCAAAATAAATTAAATCATAACAAAAGCTGAAACGTGGTAATTTACCCTTAGAGTTGTACTATTTCAAGTGGTAAAACATCTCTCGAATCACCCTGTTCTCTATCACTTAGTTAGCAGCTCTTTATTTACTACGTCTTCGGATAAACACCTCCAAGGGGAAACGCCAATTTATGATAAATAAGGTATGGAGGTGTGAGAACCAACCTTTGAGGAGTCATCTGGGAAAGCGTCAGACGACCCACCACACGACCATCCACGCCGCGGCCACTGCTCCACGCCTTTTTTTTTATTCATATAACAAACTACGGAATCGTTCGCCTTCTATAACCTAGAATGAAATTAGGTTTTCTCAAAATATATAAGTATTATTGAATTACAACTAGTCTGTCCTTCCTGGAAATGTTATAAATTTGCTTAGCTGGCTACAGTATTACATTTTATATGAGACAAAATTCTGTCACGATTACCAGAGGTATCCCCTTAAAAGTCCTAAAGGAACTTATCAGACCTTTAATATATTATCTCCTCTAATCTCCTCACTATTAGCCGTCACTTTTTATATTTTGAGGGTAACGCCAGATGACTTTGTTTGGCACTACTGACTACAGATACCTCGAGTTTTCCTGTAGGTTCTTGTGTTACTTATAATGTTGTAAAGCTAATTTTTGTCAATTATTTCAAACTTGTCCAAAACTTCATGATATCATACTAATTTCTTCTCTTTGTATTCATGGCTAAAGAGCAATGATAAAAATAGTAATACTCTTCTCGTACATAGAAGTGAGTGTACAATACATGGCTGCTGTACTAAACACTTCAGAAGGGTGACACATTCCTTGAAGTGGTTGTTCATAACCATACAGAGTGCAGTCTAATATAAGTAGACCTTCAGTTGAATCATGTGACTAGTCCACTTTAAAAAGTCATAGTTAACAGTCACCACATGAAGTAGAGGCTCGGTGGCCCAAGAGGCACATCTGGAGCCTGACTCACAGCAGGTGGCAGAAGCCAGCTGAGGAAATAACGTCCCTCCACTGCCAGAGGAACTGACAAAGGAAGTTCCATGGCGAAGTGAAGCCCGAGGAGGCACGAGCTGCACATGCTGCCAGACCTGTTTTTGCTCTCCACCTGCACATACTGCTGGAACTCCCCAGCCAGCAACCCCAGATGGCTGAATGATATTTTTAAGATGCTGATATAATTTTTTATTGTACATGTTAGAACCTTGACTTTTGCCAACTACGCCCCAACCCTATAACTTATAGTACATACCAGAAAAATTATAATGAAATACTTGTATAATGAGACACAATAAACAGAGAAGAAGAAGATATTACATATATAAGGAGAGAGTAGGAATGCAAAGATAGGAAACTTGGTAGCGTGGCCGGGATGTTATTTACTCAGCGTCAATACGCTTATCTTATCTCGTATGTCAATACACATATATCACTTCTTAAAGGAACAACTTGTTAAACACCTCTTCGATACAACTATTTATTAATTCACTCAATGACATGGACACATTAATATCACTATTATATCGGGGTACTAACACATTATGTTTTACGTTACTCGACACTGACTCTCATAAGAACATAAGAAAATAAGGAGTCTGCAATAGGCCGGTAGGCCTGTGCATGGCAGCTCCTGTCGAGAGTTACTACCACTCTCTATCATCCATGAATCTATCTAGCCTCCTTTTGAAACTTTCCAGCGGTCCAGCACTTACTACAAAGTTGCTAAGCTTGTTCCACTCGTCCACCACCCTATTTGTGAACCAGTTCCTTCCTATCTCCCTCCTAAACCTAAACTTATCCAACTTGAATCCGTTGCTCCGAGTCCTATCCTGCTCGGATATTATAAGAACTTAATCTATATCCCCTTTATTCATTCCTTTCACCCACTTAAATACTTCTATCATATCTCCCCGCACTCTTCGTCTTTCTTGGGAATGCAAGTTAAGTTTCTTTAACCTATCCTGATATGGAAGGTTTCTAAGTCCCGGAATCATTTTAGTCATTCTTCGCTGCACTGACTCTAGTGAATTTATATCCATTCTATAATAGGGGCACCAGAACTGAGCCGCATAATTGAGGTGCTGTTATATGCGACATAATTCTGGGCTGTAAGCTTTGGTCTAACAATCAATCATTACACTTGCCTATACAGTATAGTATATCAGAGACAAACTGAAACATCCAGGTTCATCCTTAAACATGTTGAAAATAGTTTACTGTGCTGTATCACCTGTATGTTAAAGTGAAAAAATCAGACAGAGTTCCTCATAGGTGAAGAGCAGATTGTATACAGTATTGTACTTTGTATACAAATGTAAATTAAATTAAATTGGGTTCCAATAAAATTCTCCACTTAAGCATTAAATCAACTATTTATTTTGATACAACTGATTTACTTGCAATGAAAATACTCTTCAGACAGATCTGTTTATAATTATTATGTACTTTACAATACAGTGACATATTTACAGATTCAACAAGAATAAACTCTACTGTACAGTATACATATATTCTATCAAAAATGATTATTTTTCCGATAAAATTTTATACTTGATTAAACATAAGTTTGACCTCGGTACAGTGACATGACGAACACAAGTACAATACAATACTGTTCATTATACAGTACAGTAAATCATTAGTAAACTTTATGGCGGAGGAAGCAAGAGGTATTTGTTGTAATGAAACACAAGGTGCTGGTGGCATTAAAAATTCCTCAGGACTCCTCAATCATAGCTAATGGCCTCCTACATATTCTAATCCTCAAGGAAACTCTTCTATGAACTGATGAACCCATTAATGGTGTTAAGTACTGTACTGTATGTCAAAACCCTCAAATAAAATTTAGATTAGTACATGAAAAATTAAAACTGACTTACCAAAACTATTATTTAGTTTTACTTTATTTTCTAAAAAAAAAAAAAAAAATCAAATTCATGATGATTTTTTAAAGATGGTAAGTACCTATTAATGATTAGAGAAGCGAAGCTCCGAAATAAATTACCCTGTATCACAAAAATAACTTAAGGACTGTACTACACTATGTAACTTCTCTTTTTAATAACAATAATAAATATGGCCGAAAGTTCCCTTTAATGAATAATGTCAAGATATCTATTGCCAAGGATTTAAAAAAAAAAATAAAAAAAAAATAAAAATTAAAAAATACTGTTTGCTCTCTACAAATGGTACAGTATAACAAATGACTAGTTGAACAAAGGCATAAATCACAAACAATATACTGTAATTTATTTAAGTCACTGCTATTACAGAGTAGATGCCTCTGTAACAATGAACATCTTTCAAAAGATACAGAAGAGCAGAGGTGAAACAGAACTTCAAGATTTTTGCAATAGTAATTAATATTTCAGAGAATTTTTCAACATTTAACAATGGTCAAAAATCCTAATAATTTTATTTTATGATAAAATGAATGTTTCTATCATCAAATTGAGTAATACAGGTAACTATACATCATTAATGGTCATGGGAATTAACAAACTAAGATATAATGTTATCTGGCACTGTCTACATATCTTTGAGTCCTTGTTTATTCTAAGGCTGGAAGAAAGCCACACACAGTACAGTATTTTCTTAAAAAAATTTGATCAATTACCATTTCTAACATTTAAAGTTAAAGACTATGAAAAAATAGTGAAAATTTTTGCTGAGTTCTAATTAACTACATGTTTATCAGTTGACTCACGCTAACTCTGAGCAATTGTTCTGCCCCAATAAAATGGTAAGTCACCAAATACTGTACTGTATAGAAAACTCTTTAATTTCTGACACTCGGTACAGTAATCTGGAACCCTCAAGTAAATGGAATTTTCAAGAACCCCAATTCAAGATAATATTTTAGAAATGACTGCATTCAAGATGTTGCAGAATATTCTAGCTTTGTATGATTGATTACTCCACAGGTAAAAGGAATCCACAATCTTTCTCCAGGCTTTATGAGATCAGAAAAAAATTGCACTTCCAAAATTCAAATCTGGTAATAATAATGTTTAAATATAATTAATACTGCATCAAAATTGGTCAATTAAATAATACTCCCAACAAAGCAGCATTTTTAAAGTATCCAGCACGATCTCAGCCCTGAGGATTCCAGACATTAAAGTATTTACTGTACAGTACTGCACAGTTCTTGACAACAGGCATAAATTTTCTCTGGTAAAGATTGGGTGAAAAAATTACCCTCTAAACTCAAATTCACTACAGCATTCAGTCAAGAGTGTTTATGGAAGCCTTCATTTCCTGACAGACTAGTTAGTACTGTAGGTACAGTAGTTGTACACCATCTGAAAAAGACCAGTACAGTACTTTAAAAAAAACCTTAAATTGTGTTAACCACCTGCATACTGTATTGGACTAGCAAACAATTTGTTATAAAGACTGGCAGAATGCTCCCTCACTCAGTAGTAAACAATACTTGTCTTCAATGAATGAATACCCAGACATGAAGCTGCCAAGACATTTTCATTTATGAAAAATAATACTTACAGTATTGAAATTCTTAAGGTAATTTACAGTTGTGGACAAAATTAATTTAGCAAGCAGGCAAGCAAGGAGGTGGTGTAGGGTAGGGGGAGACTTGGCATCATTGTAGAGGCGATGATTAAAAGTCTGTGATTTTCTTTTCAAACCAAAAATAGTTTTCAGTTTAATTATGAGGCAGGAACAGCTTACACTCCCTCCCTCCCTGCCAAATTCTTTTTTTCCACAACTGTACATTCTATATAAAGTTCTTTTAACATTCAGTCCTTCACAGAAAAACAGACACTCACTGTTTAAGTTTGTCGTGGACAGTTGTAATTCTGGACACCAACAATTGAAGGTAGTGAAAAAGATCTCACCCTACTTTATAAATGTGAGCTAAAATTAAGTTTACATTCTCCCCCTACTGCAAAGTTGTGTTCTTTAATCTATTTCCTCATTTCTAAATAATGTTTTGTTTTAAAGACATCAGCACCGACTTTTTCACTTGTGACATTTACTACGACTGCACTCTTTTATTAACATTGTTCAGTTTTGTACATTTTAAATCTTTCTTAAATACAATTTCCTCCCATACCTAATTAATACAACTTTCACTTCCCCTTTTCAACTGAAGGCAATCTCAATGTAATGCATTGAAAAAATTCACTGAATGACCTGTATGAAGAGCCAGTTCTCTTTTCAGAATACATGTTGTTTTTATCTATTATCATAAAAAACATCATATCATAAGATTAAGAATAAATAATCAATTACTGTGCTCCTGAGAAGAAAAGCTATTAGGACACGTAAATACACAGCAGTCGAGTAAAACAGTCCAGTGAACAAACAATCCCCCCAAATTACTGCAAACAATATACTGTATGACATGGATACACTCACACTATGTCCAACTGTGAAGAGAAATTTTTTTAAAAAGAATTTGCTGCATTGTGAGATGGAAGATTGACTGACAAGTGACTACATAAACAAAGAAAGTACGTACTACATGGTTATCCTGCTGTAAACTTGTTTAATGAGAATAAATATCACCTTGAACTGAAATCTAGTAAATACTGACTGACATAATATTTTATGGAAAATATTAGTCTGAGTCTAATACTTTGCTGTACTACATATGTAACAATAATTACAGCTATCTATTCTATTACAACTACAAACAATATTACAGATTACTACAAATAATGTACCTGTACTTTTACTACTATTATTATTATTTTATATTTAAACACCCAAAGCAATGATGTGCATACAGAAACTTTCAAAAAGTTTTCAGAAACCACCAAATCAAGAGTACAGTACAATTTACAATAAGATTAACAAACTACTGTACACTCAAAATAGTTACCAAAGAATTAGAAAAAGTGACATGATACAGAAACTTCTGTTCTTTGTACTAAGACACAGTATAACAAGTGTTAAGAGACAATGAAGCTTACACACAGATGCATCTGGATAGTCTAATACTGCTTCCACAAACAACAAGCTCTTTTGAACTTCTTGAAGGCAAACTAAAAATCATTATCAATGTTTTATGGCCTTTTCCCATGCTTGTGTATCCCCCTTCACTTACAAACCTTTATAGATCTGTGTATATCTTCTATTGCCTATAAATTTGATGTAATTGGGTTCTGTGAGAGTAAACTCACTTACGATATTGAACATTTGTATAGCATCCCTAATTATACTAGACACCGCGTCAATGTCATAACACAGAGTTGGTGTTGCGCTATATGTTGATACTTAGTACAGTACAGTACAGTACAGTATAACACTTTTCTTAAGAGATTATTTAAATAAAAGTTCCGGAGGAGTTCATGGGAGTATTTTTCACAGAAATACATAAGGACACACAAAATATTTTGGTAGATGTAATTTACAGATGGCCCCATACCAATGTAAGGAACTTTCTTGGTAAGTTATTGGAACTATTCTCTATCATAAGTTCGGAGAGCAAACTTTGTTACGTTACAAGAGATTTCAACCTTGATCTCCTAAAATCAGAGATGGAATGTGAGAGAAAAATTTTAAAATACTGTAATCTAAGTAGCAAAAATCATAAAACAAAAAAGTCATTTCGAGCAGCCTTGCAACTCAAGAAGAAAGAAAAACTGTACAACATATAACGATATAAAAATGTTTTTTGGCCTAAATAAGATTAACAAATGACCCAGTGAAACCCATCAATAAATATCTCTGAGTTGAATCTGCCGCAACAACAGAGGTGCAATTGCTTAGCAAGAAGGTATTATTATTTGGTGAGTAATGTTTTGTAACAATCAGTGATTTCATTGCATCCTCACCAAGTGGATTCATTCAATGATCCATTAGCTACCTCTGTGAGCCAAGGAACTAACTAGATCAGCCTTCTGACAGCATGACACACTCCTCAAACCTTGTGACTAGAACTGCAATCATAGAGAGAAGAGATAAGTGGTTGTTTTACACTTTAATATATTCCTGATTTGGTTTTTCTAAAGCTCAAACTAATTGCATAATGTTCTACCACTTTCAATGAGTGTTAGATATGAATTAAATGATCCAATCAATTGTTATAATATTTCATAAAATCATTTTGTGGAAGATTACAAGTTATGTATATAAAAAATTTCTAAAGTAATTTGGGGAATCATAAAGAGAGAATTTACCACAGAAATTACAAAGGTATTAATAACAAGCAATTAAGTATACACTAGTTGAGAAGAACAACTACCTGGTATTGGTTTCTCCCACAAAGTCTAAATACTTATGTACCTTATTTACTTAATGTACACCCAAACTAGAGGTAGTCATGCCAAGAGGAAAAAAGCCAGTGGCCTGTGTAGGATCCCTCCATTGTTCTTGATAGTTTCATCAAGGGATATTTAGAAGCCTAGTAATGTTCTCAATTCCACAAGTTACTTTGAGCAAAGAATTTTCTGTCTGCAAACCCAAGGTCATTAAATTTAGACCAACTTCAGGTAATTGCAATTTTTTCCTTGCAAAATCCAGTTTCTCAACTGCAAATCATCAATATCATTTAGTTTAAAAAGCTCATATTCCTAATCTACTTACAAAATGAACGATCATTCAATGCTTACAGCAAATCCTGGCGGGTTGAGGTGTTGATTGTGTATATATTACAGGACCCCTTGTTTAATCTAACGCCTCGGGTTAATGAAATTTCAAGTTAACGAATCCGCTTCCATAAGACCTTGACCTGTTAATCTAAAAAATTCGTTAACGAATTTCACGAACCGAATTTCAACATAGCCAGCTTTTGTAATTCGTCCGGGCAACCAGCTTTAGTATCAGTCCGCCAATACAGTAATCGGTTTTAGGGCTTAAATTCCTTACTATTTTAGTAAATATCAAGAAGTTTATACTATCCAATAGTTTTAAAAGTTTAATATTAACTTTTTTAGTCATTTTAACAATTATTGAGCATAATTGAAGGTAAAGAAACTAGTTTCTGGCATGCCATCCAGCCTGTTAGCACACCAGACAGGCGTTAGTCTCTCTCTGTTTTCACTGGAGGTAACATCTTGCTTGAGACTCTCTTCAACTAATCGCTTTTTTTCTGTGTTTCCAAGCAAATTATTGGTCATTTTGAAATATATTTTATATATTGACAATATATAATGCAGTGCAGTGTTGATTTAAAGAAAATAATCTTGAAATACACCAAGAGAACTAAAATTGTATGGGTGAAATGGTGCCATGGGGTGACTTCTCTTCCACCCCAATGCCTTCTCTTCTTCCTTCTCCAACTCTATCTCTAATCTACTATCATCATCATCATCCAGGAGCCTTTCTACATTAACACACCTCAAAGTAAGTGGTAGAACTTTTCTACCATTTTTGTTAAATTTAGAAATTTTCGCATTAACCAATTATCCAAAACCCATTGAAACAATGGTTTCACATCTTAACCCTTTTCGGTTAATCTAATTCAATCTTCTGGAAATTTGATTGAGTTCAAGAATATATATATATATATATATATATATATATATATATATATATATATATATATATATATATATATATATATATATATATATATATATATATATATATATATATATATATATATGTATGTATATATATATATATATATATATATATATATATATATATATATATATATATATATATATATATATATATATATATATATATATATATATATATATATATATATACATATACGTAATACAGTGGCCAAGGCCACTGGCTTAATTAAAACACTACAAAAACTACCTAGTTTCAGGCTCAGCCATAAAATGCTGCTTCAGGATTAATTCTCCATTTATTCCATTGTCTACAAAAGAATAGCACCCTAAGAAAAGCATGCCATTGTAAAATCTCTAAAGGTCCATGGAAAAAAAAATTAACAGCAGCATAAGGTGCACATCCATCACTCTAGCTCAGTAATACTCATCAACTACAGACCTCACACATAGAGACCATTTTTTCTTAAAAAGTTCATCCTCACCCAACAATTTTATCACAATACCTGCAGCCTTCACTTCCAGACAGATGACCCCAATTCCTGCACAGATCTTCAGTGTTGAAGAGAAAAACTGGTCATGAGCTTTAGGAAAAACTGAACATATAAATATTAAAAGTGAGGCAAGTTTACATACACATCTACTAGTGGAAGTATATATGATGTAAAACCTAACTGAGGAGCTAGATAAGTGCAGTACCCAGGATCAAACTTGGGTTCTGCTATTACAAAAGTAAAGCACCAACAATTTAGTAATGAAAAGTAATTAACATGAAATATAACTTAAAAAACTGTAACTAATAAATATGCAATAGCTACTTTAGAACACTTCAACATTTTACAGAAAAGCTCCTAAAGTTAGATGAACACATTCAGGCAAAATTCTATTCTCCACAGATTATTAACCGACTCAATACTGTACACACAAAATATGTTACATCCAGCTCAAGTGCTCGTCATTATTTCAATTTGAACAATTGGTCATGAAAGAAATACTGAGGACATAGGAAGTGCTAAGCCTATAGGGTTAGCTATGTCACTGTTCACAGCACTCTTTCAAGGGGTTATATTCATTATCAAAACTGGGACAATAATAAATATAAAACTCAGTTTGAGAAAAACTTACATATACCTTGAGTTCATCAATGCACTTTGGTACATCAGCTACAAACAAATTGAAGGTATGATTGATATCATGCATTCTAATACCAGTCATTTTGTATAGTGTATAAATATTCTCCACAGAAAATTATTGTTAAACAAGTCATCAACAATTACCTTAGTATATTCTTGTACACATAAAGATATGACTTCTAAATGACTAGAGACCAAGTCATCAAGAAATGGCCCTGAGTTACTATTTTCCTGTCTAAGACAGTTTGATGTACATGTTATGACAGCCACATAACATAATACAATATTTTAAACATCACCAATAAATGCTCTTTAACAAATAAATATTGTCAAGATAAATAGGAAATTATATGCTAATATACTGTAGTATACAATGAGGTATCCAGTACAGTATATATGACTGTTACAAAATATACTGAAGAGCCCTCAACAATATCAATATATGTTCCTTTAGTATCACTCTCTGAGAAGAACAGATGCCTGATGATGATGTGATAACATAATGGTGCCTGGGTGCTGCTCCCATGGCTCACCGTCAATTTGCATTGGTGCAGTTCCTTTCAAGCAAAGCTGTCAGACAATAGGAGATAATATAAATTTATTATAGCTTTATTCTAAACTGGGAAATATATGAGTAAATAAATCCATAAATAAATACTTTGATGAAACTATAATGAAACAGAATAAACAGGTGGAATTTGGGATAGATGACAGGTTGATGAAAAAGTTTAGTCCTCTGTCCACTAACACAGTCTAACAGCCCTTAATATTATCATCTGCCATGATTCCATATGCACACTTGATGGTCCAACTGTGCCCCCCCCCCCTCCCTCCCCGTCTGGGTCTGGCCCCAGTTCAAAATTATATACAGTCTGTATAAGTCTATTACGGTTTATATGATAAAAAGATCCCACTAGTTTTCATTATAAAAGGATATATATAACAAAGTATAAAAAAGTAAACATAGACACAATGTACGATGCCCAGCTGTCTTTTCCCTATTTATCCTCACATCAAAATTACTAAAATAATAAATTACAGTATATTTAATCATCATACAGTACAAGTATTACCTTTAAAGAAGAGCACTGGCCAAGTCTTATGGGTTCACTAAGTCCAAGCTGCAACTGGGCAATGTGGAATGATGACACCAGACAAAATACTTCTAAAAGTCCATCATGGAAGTCTTGCTTTGGAGCATTAGCTCCTCCTGTAAGTTAAAAAAATGAAAGGATTATTAAGATAAAAGTTGCAAAGCAGCATCAAAAACTTATAATAAACTTATCAATCCATTATCTTTACTTCCCTCCCACTTTTGTATGATATAGGTCAAGGGATATTGACGCCTCAAGAAATGCAAGATTTGCACAAGTGTGTTTTAAGTGTTTGTACTTGTTGATTTGCACTTTCTTGTCACTATACAGGCAATCCTCTTTATATGCACTCCCACTATATACAGCAATGGGTCCAATCAATATATTTGTAGCTTGAACACATATGCAAAACAAGTCGCTGTGTAAATATTCCCGAGAAAAAAATGATTTATTGCTAGTTTCTTTCAAAAAGTGTGCATGAGGCATTTTCAAGCAGATCCAATCCAACTTGGCAGTCTTGGGATTATTGTGGAAATAGAAGAATCTTGCTTTTTCTCATAAACAGAATGTATCATCAGGGACGAACATCACACACTCTTGTATGGGTCTTCAGTATCACAGACACAAGCACCAAACCAGCAACTGACTACATGGAAATAGTCCAGGCAACTTATGCTGCCCTTCTTTTTTCCAATTATACAACAGTGATTCGTCCAATCCTCATGTAAATACAATACCGAGATCCATCGTCACCTGAAGATTAGTCCTCCAAGTAGCGTTGGGGGGTGGTTAAACATCTGAAGAGTTAAGCTGGAGGTGAATTATACATTCAGTAAAGTTCAGTTATGATTTATTGAGTCTTTAAGTCTTTTGTATTAAGACTGGCTGAAAATCAGTGCCAACTAACACATGCTCCATAGGAGAATTAGTTTCTCTAAAAAAATAATCACTTTATTCTTGACTTCCATGGAATGCATCCCTTTCATATTATATAGTAAGGAATGCCTGTATACAATTTGGTAATTGCAAATAGTGACTAAGAAAATGTAAACATTAAGTACAAACACACACGATCTCAGTAACCAAAAACTGCCATCTCCTGAAACTGAGGAAAACTTATATAAATACATAAATCAAACAGTTCATGAATATAATAAGGTTAGCTAATAGTCCATGTAGAAAAACATTCATGATTATTATACAGTACTATATTGTCTTATGTATGTTTTGTGCAATCCTGCTAACAAATTGGTGTTAGACAGAAGTATGAGTCATGTCTTTATAGATAAACAAAGGAAAATACATATTCCTTCTGCATATATAGGAAGATATTAAAAATAAAAAAGAAATGTTTTATGATATAATCTGTGCAAGTTGGAAAAGATAATAATTTAGATCTGAGAATAAAATTTACTAACCAGTGCCCAAGGTCCAAGGTCTTACTCCAGCACCCCAACTTGCTATGTTGAGAACAACCACAGCTTCCAAATTAGGCAGCTCCACTTTTTGGTCATCCATATACAGTTCAAGCTTCTGGTCTAGGTCCTTACACTCATGCTCAAAGACATCCTTAGTACCAAATGTGAAGTATATCATCTGCAAGTGTTTAAACTTCTTACACTACTGCACACTACACAATGAAGCTAAATGAACACAGGTAGTAAACACAGAAAAGTTATATGAAGATAATAACACTCACCAGCGGCTGTATTAATTTAACTATACATTTTCTTTCAGTGAAGTGACTACTGTCATTAGCTGATCATTCACAGAGATTTTGGTGACCTTATTATGTGCATTACTGCAGAACCATAGGTGAACATAAAATATAGCTGGACTTAAAGTAAATATCACAGAAAAGTGCCAAGGCAATTTTTTTTCAGGGAGGTCATTAATGTCATTATGACCATGAAATTTGATGGCTGTAGCAAGTTCCATTTGTATAGAACCCACATTGAATATAAAATTTAACATGACCTATATTTACTCAAAAATAGACCCCAGCAAGCTACTTTTCCAAGATCTAATTGTTATTACATCATACATATGAAGTTTGGTGACTGAAGGAAAATCATGCAACCCTTCCATAGTGAGTTCCAAGCTAATCTAGGACAAATTAATAGAGGATTTATGATGCATTATTGTTGAATATAAGTTGGATATAATCAATCCTTCATGGAATAAGTACATTTCTTAGTTTAAAAAAAAAAAAAAAAAAAAGCTTTATATTTTTGACCAAGAAGGAATTATATCTTAAAAGACAAGGCAGATGCTTTGTAATTAAATGTAGAGAAGTTGGAAAAGTGTATTAGTACACAAGCATGATAGCAACTCCCTTCCGCTTGAAAGAGTAATTACAGGGTGGCCCCCAAGTTCGCGGAATTTTATTTTGCGGTCCTCTATTATTCGCGGATGACACCTTGGATGTACCCAAGAATGAATGTAGGTAGTTTTATAGTTACTGGCATTTTCACAGCTGAGACAGGGAGCCATTTGTTCTAGAGACAGTAATTTCCTTTACCTGTACAGTATTGTAAATATGTGTGTGTGTGTGTGTTTGTGTAGACACACACACACAAAACACATACAAATAAATAATAACTGGAAAATCCTCTCACAAATAATCAGAAACAAATTTATTAAAAAAATGTGAGTCTACCCTCAAGTCCGCGCTTTATTACTTTACAGTATAAATAATGCACGGACTTGAGGGTAAACTCACATTTTTAATAAATTTGTTTCTAATTATTTGTGAGAGGATTTTCCAGTTATTATTTATTTGTTTTGTGTGGGTGTCTACAAACACACACACATATATACAATACAGGTAAAGGAAATAATTGTCCTAAGGGCAAACACATAAAGGGAACATACATTTCTTTGTACACAAGTAAAAATGTACCTCCCAGTCCGCAAATGTTATTCATGGATTTGGCAATTCACGGCCATTTTGAGAACCCAACCCCGCGAATTTGGGGGGCCTCATGTAAACAATGGTGACCAGGGTGTGCCTAACTGCAATGAACTCTAGCAGCTTGAGGTATGTGCTGTGAATGTTCACTGAAAAAGTATCCTATCATGCACCTCTTATATGGTCACAAAATTACAAGACCAAAAAATAGAAATAAAGTCTCATGAAAATGGTTCAAATTGTAAAATAAGACTCACTATCATTTTCAAGGACCAGTGCTCATGTATACCTATTGTAAGCATATAAAACTGAAAAACATTTTGATATATACAGTACCTGTACTACATTACCTTATTTATCAATCGGTTGCTAAATATATAAAATGGTGACTGGCGTGCCCAATCAAAGTTGAGTGTAACGAGGGCATCCACACCAACACTGAGATAGTTGTTCATAAAATATTCCCGAGCTGGCATGCGTATTCCTGTTGGAAGATTAGGGTTTAACTTCAGCAAAAATTTGGATTAGTATATTTATACTGTATAGTGTAAGAGTAAAGAAACGATCAATTTCTCTGAATATCACCATCAGGAGCATAAACATTATTGTTTGCTTTGTACCCATGACAGCAACACAAATGATACGTCATAAGTTTATCATGTTCAGATGCTCATAATCTTATGTCTCTACATTATCTCTACCAAACTTGTCTCCAATAATAATAAAATATTACGTTGCAAATAAAATTTTTGACAAGAATACTGGACCTACTTTACTTGAGATTGGTATGAACACAGTTTAGATAAAAACAGTAGAAACTAACCAAGCTTCCTGTTTGGAACAAAATGAACCTTCCATCTATCCAATTTTGTTGGTACTGCTGAGGCAAGTTCCTGTAGATACTGAACTACATCCACATATCTGGAGTGACCTTCACCATAGCCAAGAACACGGGAGAGATCATTGCCTGTTCCAAGTGGCAAAATGGCAACCAAAGGATCTTTCTGTAAGCAATTTTTTATTTTTGTTTAGATAAAGGTACAAATTACTTTATACCCTGTATCTACCATACCAGTAGATCTGCCTAAACAATATACCATACCCAAATCAATTTGAAATTGCACTCAAAATAAAATTAAACTTATGATTTTGTATCTAACCAGCTATATAAAACATTCTGTATGAACGGTTGTGTGTGCGTGTAACAGTAAAAAAAAAAATAATAAAAAAATAAAATTACGTAGTATACTGTACAGGTATTTATCCAAAAATATGAGTTGCTCTGCTAGGGGGATGTAGCTACAGGGACAGTCCAATGGTACTCCCTTTCACATAAAGACCCCAAAACTGGTTTACCTATTGCTTCAAATAAATTAGAGCCTGCCATCAGCATCACATCCTTCCCAAAATGTCACTGAATGCTAGCTAGTACTTCACTCATACATACTGTACATGCATACTGCTGATTCCTAGATGTTCACCTCCCTCACCTTCAGGGCATCCTTCACCCCATCCATCCATCTTCTTGGTGGCTTCACCCACTCCCTCTTAAATCTAATTATCCATTTTCTTTTTAACCAATCCTTCGAATCTAACAGGGCTACATCAAATCTTTCCTGAGGTACCTTTATTATAAGCCAATGAATGAAAAATAGATAGACAGACAACTTGGTAAGAAGACACGACTCATCAATAAAGTCTCCCCAAGAATAATATAATAAAATGGAAATAAAAAAGTTGCAAAATCAAAATTTTCTTAAGCCTGATACTGTCAACTTCAAAGAAGGGGTACAGTACTATAAAGGCTCAACTACCGATCTTTTGAAGAATTAATATGGGAATCATTTAAAAGGTTGCTTTTCCTACAATATTCAGATTATAGAAAATATGACAATAATACTGTATGCCCTAACTGGTGAATATATAAAGCTATTTAAATTTTCTCTCCGCTATTTAAAGTAAGGTATGACTATATTTTTACCTTTAACTTCATATTGTGAATGGCATTGAAAATCCATGCCACAGTACCATCTCCACCTGCTACAACAACTCTACATGTAACATCAGCAGGCAGCAGACGACACCATTCCAGAGCTTCCTCTGCAGGATAATCCGCCAGATCTCTTACTTGAGCAGGATTCAAGACATTTCTAAATGATGACAAGACACTATCTGCCTCACTGCTGCCAGATTTTCGATTACCTGCAAAGACAGTTTAAAGTCAGCCAACAAACCTTTTTATCACAAGAAGGTATAGTAGCAACAGTTACTAAAGCATTACTAAAAATAACAACTACAATTAGACATTTTTACAATCTGAATAGATATGAGGACTGATCTTAAAATCCCATTTGATTGCAGAGCCTGAAGCTAAATGACTTGAGTAATACACTCACTACACCAGGGAAGTCACTAACCCAGGTTAGTCATGTAACCATAAGCATTTGTGGCTGGGTAGTAGTATCCACTGCTGAGATCTGCCCTCACATAACCCAAAGACTACTCTCATCTCTCCATAACAACTGTTGCTCTTAAAGGAAGAACTACAGAATTACCTCTCTCTACCGACATAATTGGTGAGCAGCCAGTTTGTTATGGGGAATTTTTCAGTATACCTGCACAGTAAAATTAATCTGTAAATCTCATTCAATACCAAACATTGTTCGGTATATATGAAAACGTTTGGTATGTTTAGTCCAGATAAATTGTCACAATGCTGGATTTTTTTATATAAAATATAGTTTGGTAACACAAAATATTAATATACGCCATATATCATACATAATACATAAAAAATACAGTAATACGTAGATATTGTACAAATATATTTCAATATTACATAAACAGTTCCTTCCCTGGCTGGCTGGCTGGTCACAGCTGTTCATCTATGTAAACAGATCACCTGGAATTTAATATGACATAATAACTCATCAGGTTGAGTGAGTTTTTTTTTTTGGGGGGGGGGACTAATTAATTTACAATAATGTTTTATTCACCCAGCACCATAAGAAATTAAATACAGTATCTATAATAATATAGGAATTATGGAAAATTGCAGGCTGTTGTTTTAACCAATCCTCCCAGTAATACGAGCAAGTGAAAAATCGACTGTAAGTAATGTTTACAAAGTGTATGCTGTAGCTTTACGTAATATTACTAACCCAGAGAGAACAAATGCTCTAGAATCATAGTCTTCAAAAAGGACAGTCCTACAAAATGGGCCAATCAAATGTTGGTACAGTACATAACCACAAGCTCGCCAAATTATGCAGAACGAATACTGTACTGTATAAGGTAAACAATTTCACACAGAGGGTGGTAAACCTATGGAATGGTCTACCAGCCCAAGCTGTGGAATAAAGAACAGTAATGTACTGAACTTCATAATAGCCCTTGGCAAAATTATCCAAAAAATAGAGGGATCCTACACAGGCCACTGGCCTCCTCCCCACAGCATAGCCATGTCTAGGGTGGCCATTAGGTTAATAAGGGGGTTGCAGGACAAGAGGGGAGAATTTTAAGCTCAATCCAGCCAACAACCTGCCTTACCTAACATCTCTCTCACAGAGAATTAAGTTCCCACACCTAATTGTTCTTATTTTATACTGTAGTTTCATATTACTGTAGAATGTATTTTCTTTATTTCTAAGTCACATTAAAGTATTGTATTATAGTATTATACAGTACAGTATTGAATATTTGAGGAGGGGTTCAGAAGAGGGTTCAGTATATAGTGTACAGTACTGAATAGCGAATCTGTTCGGAATAGAGAGGTATTACTGGAATCTGAGCAGCAGTGCGGTATACAGTACAGTATAGCAAATTTTGGTTTAGAGAGGTACACTGGTAATACTGTATAAGCAAAAGTTATCATGACCTGACAACACAAATCCTATACATCTTATTCATCCCATACCACAGAATCAACATGTGATTCATAAACATCAGTGTTACAGCCATAACCACTTGTGTATGAGGTACCCTGTGTGCTGAATAAAATCGTCTGGCATGAGACAAATAAAATATTAAAAGTGGCATCCCCATAGTGAAGGGGTTAATAAAGCAAGGCTTAATTTAACAGAGAGAAGAGAGTAGGGATCCCAGTCATGGTGTGTCTCTTCAATAAATATTAGTAATCTTTTCCCAACAATCACTCACCTACTATTCCTGCTTTTTACCCTTACCTATAACAATGACTGGACTCCAATTGGTGCTCTCTGGTTTCAACACTTCCTTAAAAAGGAGATTTTTCCTCATCCTCGACAATTTCAAGCGAATGCAGTTGGGTGGAACGATGTACTCTCTGAGCTTACCCAAGTCACAGACCTGAAAGAAGCATGTACAGTACTGTATACAGTATAGTATAAAATTTGGACAAACTGCTGCACTTATATTAAATTAAATTGCAGAAAGTACTTTGCAAACATGCCAGCTTTGGCAGTGTGGTTACAATGATTTTACTAATAAATAACTTTGAATTTGAGGAAGTGAAGAGAGTTGATTGCAGTACTTAGCCACACTACTACCTTGTGTACCAAAAAGGCTTAGCTTACAATGTGCTGTACTACCCCAACCAAGCCATCAGGCATACAGGGCACACTTTCTATTTCAGTGACTAAGTGTATGTAATATACCATTACAGTAGTGCGAACATATACCATTTGAACTTGATATTCAATTTAGTACACATTTCAGGAAGGTGTGTAGTCCTCTCCAGGTATAGCTAACCCTTCATAAAACCACACTCCTCCACACCCACAAAAAAGAAAGGTGCACACTGTAGAATGGTTTCATAGAATTATGTTTTTACCTCTGTTATGTTTTTGACACAGGCATCATGGGAAGACCGGTGGCACCAGCAACACCACCAGTCACACAGCATGGGGTCTGTTCCACATTCTCTCTTGCACATTTCACAAACTGCATTAAGTGGTAGATTTCCTGGTGACAAAGTAGACATATCTTGCAATAAAAATATTAATATTAGGTATACTGTACTGTACTTTTTCTCAAAGATACAAAAACAAATTAATAATTATTAAATATGATAAAAAAAATTTGTTAGCGTAAAATCTATATCCTTTAAATTCCTCTCCAACATATCTTCCTGAATTTCAAGGATAAACTCTATAATAAAATTGTAAATAAATTTCTATAAGTACTATACAGTATTATCTATCTAAAAAAAAAGTCAATTAGCTATCCTCATAACATGACAATGAATAATTAGAAAATACAGTGCTCTCTATAAGTACAATATGTCATTATCAATCCTGGGTAATTCTGCCTTAATTATACAAACGACATGACCACAAAATTTGTTTGATGGAGTTTCAAAGCAGTAAAAATGATGAATATAACTTGAAATCCCATTTGATAACCAAGACCATATTGGACAACCCATGTTGTTCAGCCAGCTAAGTCCATAAAGTTAAAACCCAGGCTAACCCTTGACTAAAATGACCAGGGACAAATCAATAGATTAGCCCCAGGATGCTTAAAAATTAAGTATTGCTTTTCAAAGTACGTAGAACGCTATCAGGTCACAACCACATCAGCAGTGTGCAACTCTCCAATCATTTGTTTAGTCATACCAAAGGACCAAATCAACAAAGTACTTCAGTGCCAGCTATTCTGCCACATAACCATAAGAGGAGGGCAACAGAGTTCACCAGTAATTTTGGTATAATAGAAATGGTTAATCCTGGAAATCTCACTTTACAGTCAAGTCAGGACTAGTGAACAGTGTCCATCAAGTTTAGTATTATGGGTTGAAAGCTGCAACCCTATTAAACTCCCAGTATCGATTGCTGCCACTCATCAAACTATTCCTGAGACAGGAGTCCAGGAGACGAAAACCACCATTCGTGGTTGTGAGCTTAAGGAGTCTTGATGCAGTTCTCCCTCATTTAATATAGGTTATGAACCCATTATTCACCTGTATGATCTTCAGTGAGTTGGAAAAAAAATTTGTATGTTGGAATTCAGTTACATACAGACTATATATATTTTGTAGTTAATAGTACAGTACAGTGGGGTATGCTATAACGAACGGATCCTACTACGAATATTCCTATAACGAATGGTTTTACCTATAAAATTGAGAATGCTATAACGAACGAAACTCCTACAACGAACATTATTTAATTTTTTTTTCTTTTTTTTTTTTTACTAATTTATTGTTTTTTTATTACAAGTATTAATGATATTCTTTATTTCAGGGGTTTAGATCCATATTTATGCACTTTTTTACAATTTCTACAATTTTATATTATATTTTTCAGTGTTAAGTGGTTGTATTTGGGGGCCTGGAACGGATTAATCCTATAACGAACAAGGTTCTAGAACCAATTAGATTCGTTATAGCATACATGTTTTAGCCCAGGTCTGTTTGGACTCTTTTTAACAACAAAATCACACAAAGACATCTTTATAACTGCAGCCAGGATACTCCACTTAACAAAAGAGACGCTGCGCTTTAATATTTTGTTCTAGGCAGCACAAATGACTTCTAACAGAGAGATACATTATTATTAGAAGGCTCTTTCCTTAAGTCTGAACACCAGCCAGACTGAATTAGTAAATCCTGGCTCACGCTTTGGACACAGAAACCCAGTCGCTCATGAACAACCTGAAGTTCCCTCTCTTGTTAACAAACTTACCAAACAAAACAGCAGAATTATTTAGGTAATTTGGAGTTCTTTTATGGAAGAGGAGAATGTTAGGCTCCCCAAACTGATTTACCCTTAGGTTAATGTGTGTGTGTGTGTGTGTGTAAAAAAAAAGAAAAAAAAAAGTAGTTGTGTGCCTTTCTCGAGAAAAAATAAATGTCTTTTTATCACCCCCTCCCACACACAAAAAGCTGTGACTGTATAACTTAATCATAAAAGTGTCAATTGTAAAGACAGATATGAAAAAAATCATCTGGCCCTTGTTGGAACTAATGTATTCAGGACAGATACCTCTACACTCTGTGAGAATACAGCTATGAATGAAATGATCCAAACAAGTAGACCAGGTTTTGTTGATGTGCCTATGACCTGATACCCCCCTGCCTTTAACTGCAACATCATTTACCAAAGAGCCTTAAAATAGCTTTTATTATTTTTCAAAGAAGTTCCAAGCTGTGGATATATTGTACCTCCTATATTGATAAATCCCAGGACACTATATTGAGTGCCTAATCTGAGTTCCAATCCCTAGAATTATCTGGATGAATAATATGGGTTTTAAGGAGTCATAAGATTAGAAACAAATATTAGGAGGTGCAGTACAATGAATAAATCATTATAAACTCTTAGCAGCAAATTATTAAACTATAGCAACTCTGGAACTTCTCCACTATTGCAGAGAATGATAAAGGATTGATCCTGAAATCCCATTTTATAACTGAGTCAGGATCAAGCAACTGCACAATTAGCAAGTCTAGAGGTTGTAATTTCATGCTTCAAGGCCCCAGCATGTGACTGGAATCTGAAAATAAATTCATTGATGGAATTATTCTTCACATTGATACAGCTGTCCTGAAGATATCCACTTGATAAGATGGTAACAGTACCCTTAAAAGGGAAAAGGCTCGAGTTTTACTATGAGCATAATAAGAGATGCTCTTATCTGTTCATTTGTTTTGAGACATCAGTCTCAAATGTTCAAACCTGGTCATTCATCCAGACCCAGCTCACATTAGCACCCACAAAGGTAGGAAGGAGGGATAATGAGTTGCTCAATCCCAAACTTGGTTGTAAAATGGGATTTCAAGATCAATCCTCCATTAACCATTGGGTACGGGGAGTCTCCCTATGCCAAGTAAAATGTTCAGGTGTTAACCAAATAAAAATTAAAATTGGCATCCCATAGTGAAGGGGTTAACAACCTCAGGTCGGGATCAAGCAACTCTCATTACAAAACCAGACAGCATGGGAATACCTTGACTTGGTAATGATTTTTACTTAGAATGAAAATAAGGTATTTCCTAAATTGTTTATGAACTGACACATTCTGTACCAATGAGCATCCTTATGGTTTACAGAAACACACCAAAAGTACCTTGTCAAAATCCACCACTTCTATTTAATGGTGGATTCCTGTTATTCCTGAAGATTCTAGAACATGGAGCTAACAGATGAATATTCAGTAGTTTTTATTTAACCTGCCTGATTTGGAAGTAAGTTAATTATAAGGCTTCTCCATCTTCCATCTCAAACCTCCAGAATGATTTAAATATTTCAGAGATTCTTCCTCTAAAATCCCCCAAAATGCGACGACTGTGATGTATCTGCCAACCGTTAGAAGATCCTTGGCCCTTCTTCACCTATGCTATGTACCCTCAGAAGAAAGCAAAGAGGAACCCATCTTAAACTTTTTAGTGAACCTGAGAAAGGCATTCGCAGGATCCTGTGCTTATCATCTCTAGTCATCATTGACAAGAACCTGAATTATGTATCATCTCAAAAAACCTATACTGTACACTGTATCACCCTCCAGTGGGTTAGTCACAAACAATCTAAACCAACTTAATAATCACTAGACAATTTGGACATAATTACTGTACATTAAATCGGTGAGAAAACAAGTAAATAAAATATTTAGCTCGTCAACAATAGCCGTATGAAGACATGAAGCTACCCAGCTGTTCAGGAAAAAATGGACTAAACCATAACATATGCAAACTATCACTACTATCACTCAAGAGAAACTGCTTCTTTGAAACTTCCACTGCCAACCCTTGCTGCACCAGGGGATGGACATTATATTCCAGAATCAATTTCATCATCATGTGTTTTAGAGTTATTTTCCACATTTACATGGGTTAGCCATCATTACCTGATGTCATCTCTCCAAGCTGCATGTTCTCTTGTAGTCCCCTCTCATCAGATTCTTAACTCTATAGTATTGTCATGTCTTGTAACCTCTCCTTACATCATTCTTGCTCAACCCCTTACCTCTCATCCCCTATACACTTAAACTCCTGCATCTTTTAACCCAACTGGCCTCCTTCATTCTCCCCATATGTCCAAACCATCTCAGCCTACCTCTATGCAAGAGTTTGCCAATCAATACCCAACTGCCCTCTTAGCAAAAAACAGGGTTTCCCATCTTTTCGTGTCAAATTGCACATCCACTTCACCATTCCCGTATCAGATAGCTCAAGCCTGTGTAAGTCAAACTCTTTAACCACCCATGTTTCACTGCCAGACAACATCACATTTCTCATGATAGTCGCATATACTGTATATGGAGGGAAGGTCCTCTTACCATCAATTAAGATAGCAGCTCCCAAAACATCAGCATAAGTTATTATTTTATTCTATTTTAAATTGCTAAACTTCAATTTTCTTTATTTTCTGCTTTATAGTAATTCACCACAATTCTAGCATCATAACATACTCAATATGGTTAGGTTACAATTTTTGTTTACATAAAATGTCCTTTTACATTTTCTGACAGTTCAGTACAGTACTTTTGTAGGTTAAAATGTTTTTATTTATTTATTTATTTTGTATCATGCCTTTCTGCCACATGGAGGTTCAACAAAGTAACTTGAATGAAACTGTTTGTTACAGTACACATGTTCATGCAAGAAATGTCATAAATTTCAAAATGCAACAGCTTGTCAGTCAAAAATTCACAGAAACTCAATGACAGCAATTAAAATAGTGGAGCAAACCCTTAGGTTCTCTCCGAAGAGGTGCCCCAAAGGACAAAATAAGTGGAAGGGTAAGTCAGACATTTAAGAAACAGGACAAATCACACTGAAAACAACTTAAATTTGCTCTCAATGAACTACCTAGTTTCATTGAGCAGGTTATCAAATTCACTAAACCACAATACTTGATACATGATGTAAACATCTGAGGCTGAATCTTCCTGATCTCTTTCACAAAACAAAAATAATCTATCTTATAAAAAAAAAAACTGATGTATGCACGGGCTTCATTTCCTCAGTGTAAGGAGATGGCCCTGGAACCAAATTATTAGCTAATACAGTGGACACTCCTACATCAGCAACTGGGACTGCATGGCCTTTTTATCCTTTGTGTCCAAAAAAAAAAAATAAATAAAAAAAATAAGAATAAAAAATAAAAAAAATAAAAAAATGGCTGTCTGCAAGATCACAGCAGGAGCAGAAAGTCTATGTTGTGCAGAGAGTGAATGAGATCTGAAGCAGTTGATCAGGTTCAAGCACTTTGTAACTGATGTCAACAAACAAATGACTGAATTAAGGCATCTTTTGCTTTGCTCACAGCAAAATTGTCAAGCCTTTTATTTATTGAGGATACTTTCTTAATAAGTGGATATCCTTCTGGACCTTGGAATGAAGATGAAGGATAATCTATTTATCAGAGTTTTTTACCCCAGTCACAAGTTAGAGCCCTAGGAGATGGCTCAAGCCTCTGTACTTACTGACTATATGCTTGATCCTGACCTGAGGTTATAAAATATTTAACAAGGATCATACCAACCCCCTTGCCTTCATTTAAGTAAAAATTATTTGACTTTTATTATCAAAAATTGTATACTGTAAAAAAAAAAAGATTACAGAGAATTACTAATCCTTTCAACTAAAGAGAATCTGGTTGATTAATTTTGGCCAAAAGAAGGCTAGGTGAACAAGAACAGGCAACATCGAGCATCACCTCTGATCCAGTGATGCTTGTGTGTACGGGCCTTGGTGGTGATGACCTTGCACGGCAATGTCTTGTCAGCCGCCTCAATACATTCAGGAGAGTTGGCACACACTCCACACGAGTCACAGAATACCCCATCACAAACCATGATCAGTTTCTCACATATGTTGCAGAAGCTTGGCTGTTAAGTACATGTGGCAAATCATGGAAAAATAACATTATTATCAATGTCATATGCCACCTGCAATTTGTTTCCTGTTTCTTCCCCTTAGAGATCATGCAAAAAATACTAACCAGAACATACATTTTATGACTGTCGTAGAATCTACTCATTCAGAATTCTGCAATTTATTCAAATGCACACTCCATTTACTGTGTTTGCATGCTATTCTATACACTTCACCCATGTTTACAATGCAGGACTTATGCTCTCTCATACACTCAAATCATCATTTTCAAGATTAAATAAAATTTCACCCAGTGAATTCTCAGTGACAGTGTTTTCAATTTATACTATGACCTTGCTTAAACTACATAAAAAAAAATTGAAGGTGTAATGGCCACTTCTATGGCCTGTTACAGATAATGGTCACAAGAGCAAGATTAACACTAAAGGTGGACAATTCCCCAACTGTCAAGTCCAAGAGGCCATAAATCTGGTTATTAAATGACAGAAAATGCTAATTGTTTACTACTCTAAGACCTTATTGTGATATATCCGCATGCTGAATTTGGTTAAAATCCATTTCTATTTGTTCAAGTCATAACATTCACAATCCCAAGGCATAAGGAAAGAACACATGCATTCCTATGTCTGTCTCTTAGGACAGCAAAGGACAAGAACCATATTAACTGTGACCCTGGTTCATAAACGGCAACTGACTAATGCTGTCATGTGACTGCATGGGATGTCTGTGATAGGATGATACTTCTCCCAGCTTATCCACTCTAAAACTAGCAACATGACACACTTAGTTCATAGTCTTCTGCCATTGTACAAGGTTGATCCCTCGCTTGCTGCTGTTTTTGCATAAATTTCTTTTCCGCAGTACAGTACTGTACATTACTGTACCAAGACACAATCAGCCAAGAATACAGTGTTAAAGCAGTGTTAAGACAAAATGTGATTACCGTTACGTATACAGTACAGTACTGTACATTACTGTACCAGGACACAATCAGCCATGAAAACAGTGTTATGAAGTAAAAAGTGATTACAGTTACTTATACTGTACTGTACATTGAGCAAAATGGACAGTGTATGCCAACTGTAGGATCAAGATAACAGCACCTGCTGGTGAGTACAGTACAGTAATAATATACATTACTTTATTTATAATATATTGTTCGTGTACAGTGGTGTTTGTGTAAATAAATACAGCTCGTGACTGTCCGTGTGAGATGCATACAGTGGTTCCTCGGTTAATGAACTCAATCCGTTCCAGCAGGTTGTTCGTTAACCGAAAAGTTCGTTAACCGAAACCATTGTTTCAATGGGTTTTTGGGTAATTGGTTCCAGCTCACCGAAAATTTCCTAAATTCAACAAAAATGGTAGAAAAGTTCACTTACTTTGAGGTGTGTATGTAGAAGGCTCCTGGATGATGATGATGATGGAATTAGAATGGGGGTGGAGGAGAAGGAAGAAGAGAAGGCATTGGGGTGGAAGAGAAGTCACCCCATGGCACCATTTCACCCATAAAATTTTAGTTCTCTTGGTATATTTCAAGATTATTTTCTTTAAATCAACACTGCACTGCATTATATATTGTCAATATGTAAAATATATTTCAAAATGACCAATAATTTGCTTGGAAACACAGAAAAAAAGCGTTTAGTTGAAGAGAGTCTCAAGCAAGATGTTACCTCCAGTGAAAACAGAGAGAGACTAACGCCTGTCTGGTGTGTTAACAGGCTGGATGGCACGCCAGAAACTAGTTTCTTTACCTTCAATTATGTTCAATAATTGTTAAAATGACTAAAAAAGTTAATATTAAACTTTTAAAATTATTGAATAATATAAACTTCTTGATATTTACTAAAATAGTAAGGAATTTAAGCCCTAGAACCGATTAATGTATTGGCGGACTGATACTAAAGCTGGTTGCCCGGCCAGTGCAAACGAAAACATGTTGAGGTCGGTTCGTAAGAAATTCGTTAACCGAATTGAAGATTCTTATGGAAGGCAGTTCGTTAACCGAAATTTCGTTAACCGAGGCGTTCGTTAACCGAGGGATCACTGTAGATTAATTCTCAGGAAAACTTTCCCCAGTACAGGGTGGAAAATTCCAGTCTTGGTTGTGACACTCAGCTCCATTCATGCCTTGCATACCTGTAATATATACAGTGTATATATATATGTGTGTGTGTATATATATATATATATATATATATATATATATATATATATATATATATATATATATATATATATATATATATATATATATATATATATATATATATATATATATATATATATATATATATATATATATATATATATATATATATATATATATATATATATATATATATATATATATTTTCTCAGCTGAGCACTGAGTCAACAATCTCCCAACATATGTTGAATAAAAGCTTAAACATCACACATGCTAATCTCATCCACTTGTCATACTATGCAACACAGTACAGTACTGTGCACAGAACACACATGCAATTAACAAAACATCCGACACAGCTATGTCAGTCTCGCCTTGAATCTTTTCTGAGTGCACATCATTGGAGACAAGCAACTTTACTCACAACTCTAAATTAATGAGCTCCATGTTAACAAGATTACTTTCATTTAAAAAACAGTACTACAATTAGCTATTTGCAATTTACAGAGATTTTCATAAATAAAAGAACAAAAGAAATGGTAAAAACTTATCATACTGTATGAGCATCATAACCAATCAAGATAGTTCAGTGAATATCAACCAATTCAATTAAATTTTAATAATTTACTGAACAAGTAAACTCCCTCTAACACATTCCATATTCTTTGTTTACATTAGTGGAAAGAGTTAAAACATTTAAAATCAATAAGACTCATACAATTCTAAGTATACCATATATGAGCCAAAATGCATTTGATTCTACAGGGTAAGTACTTAAGAGAGACACTGAAATATCTCACTTACCCTGGGAAACATGCCTGTTACACACCACCGATGTCCCTTCATAACGTCTCTGGCGTGGAGTTCATGGTGCAGGCGTCGAGTGGTAAGCTTAACAATGATTATGACTCCAATGGCAAATATAATGCCAAACACAATCTGTCCAGTTGTGTCACTCATCCTGCTGATACATACATGTCCATCAGTTAAAATGTCATTCAAAAGGAATTACAGTCATGTATAATTAGAAATTTTATGCCTTCTGATTAAGTTATGCATACTGACAGTCATATATAGAGAAGCACCTAAATAATGTTGATTAGTTCAAACTGACAATATGTACTATAGTGTTCTGTTATAAAACTGCTAGGTAATGTCTGAGAACAATGCTACCACCAAAAGTTGTTCGATTACAATCATCTTTTCCACAGATGTTCTTAGCATTATAATAAGTACCCTGTACAGTATTTTAAAAGAGGAAACAAACTGAAAAGACAACAACACGAGCCGACACGGCAGATTTTTAAGGAGTATTTATAGTAAATAAATAATCTCTTTATGTATAAAGCATGTAGAGAAATTATTTTAGTGTCATATGATCAGTTTTTCACTGTGTTTTACCCAGCAATTTCCTTCATTCTTCATGCCCTGCCTACTACAGATGATTTATGGTCGTAGAAAAAAAAAAAAAAATAAAAAATAGGTTAATGTTGATGACTGACCCGCGGACGAATTAATTGTTTTACAGTATACTTTCTTACTTTATTTTCATCAGTGAATTCTGATATGATAATCATTTCTTGTGCAAATGCTTTGCTTGGTAGATAATTAGGCTCCAAGGCACACAATACTTTGTCTTCTCAGCAGTAATGTGGCGGTGACGTCTCATCCCAGGATGTAAACGGCCAATCATATTGAGGTATTTCAAAACACTCCACCGCCTGGACTGGATCAACGCCGATGCTCAGTGTGCGCTTAAGTACCATTCGGTAAGGGCAGCTGCTCTCACGTCCACAAAATACGTAAAATTACACCATATCATGGCAAGTTTTTTCTGTTTAATATACCGGGGGGTCTGGGAGGCTCTAAGTTAGGTAAGGTTAGTTTGGTTTATTTGGTTAGGTTGGTGAGGTCTTCTAACAACGTTCCTGCTGCGTGTTTTTCATATCAACTATGGTTAGGTTAGGTTTAATTTAGAAATAACCACTTTTTAACACATTTACACAAATAACGACAGTGTCCACTATAAAACACAGTAAAATTGTTACTTTTTATAACCTTTTTTTTTATTAAAAAATCGGCCACGGGTGATTCATCAATAATTACCAAAAATTATTCTTCGCTAATGATCAGCTCGTCAGCTGCTTGGGCGGTCGGTCACATCCTTTAAAATACTTACTATAATGGTGGAAAAAAAATAACGAAATCGAACAACTGGTGGTCGTATTTTCCAAAATTACCCACTGACAATATGCAGAGACAGAACCTGGATTTTATGAGGGGGTTAGGATTTTGGCCACACCATTACCCAAATTAGCAAGTTATGCAATATAATGAACGTAAGCTATCAGGTGAAATCATGTCAAAATAATTCGAGCAATAAGGTTGCACCTTTATTCTGAAAACTCGTCATAGAAACCATACTTCAATAACTTCATCACCCCAGCCACCAATAAAACTATCCATAAAGAAGTATCAATTGAAACCATTATCAATTACTTAATCTTAAATTACACTACTCGTGTAGTTGAAAATCAAGTAAGTTTACAAGTTACCTGTTTCAATGGGGATATCCAAAATTCAATGGAGAAATATACTAATAAATCAATATTGGAGACCCGTGGAGGCTCCTCCACCAGACCCTCGTTGTTGTCTGTTTACCTTCTTAAAAGACTGTGACGTCACGACAGGTTGAGTGTAGGGATAACGGACTTAAATGGCTATAAAATTATGAAGATTTGTAACCAGAAAAAGGGTTAGGCAATTATTTAGCTGAATATGATGGACAGCTATTGTTCCAAGGGACTTGACCTCACTTTACTAACTCCTCCTCAGTCTCTATTTACCCCTAAAGATGTGAAGCACACCAATGAGCCTGGGAACTTTGTATTTTCGTTTTTGTGTGGTTATCACTTTATATATACTGTACACACACAGCTCAAGGTTAAAGAAGCCAAAGCCCAGAAAAATGTGAGGGGTAACTTGTACGGAGTGAGAGTTGTGAACTCTTGCAACAATCTGCCAGATAGTGTTGTGATGGCACCAAGTGTGGGCCGGTGAAAGTTGTTTGAACATACTTCCTAGCCCCCATTAGTCCCTATTCACCTAGCAGTAAAGTAGGTACCTGGTGTAAGTCGAAAGTTGCGAATTCGTATTCAGGGACAAGTTGTTGGAGCTTCCAATAACTTGATAACATAAACCACTGACTCTTGAGGCTCATACGCCCTTGACTCTTCAGGCTTCTACGCCCTTAACTCATGAGACATAAAGGCAAGCATGAACTTAGCATGCTTCCCTGTTGGGCGCTGTAAACGCTTCTGCGCTTCACCTTACACAAGGATGTAGGGGAGTGCCCAATAAATAAAAAAAAAGCTCCAGGTAAGGGCTCTCGACTGAGTAGTGCCCTTTGAGATGTTTATACTGTAGTGGAGTCCTCCCCTACAAACGCCGTGTGTCGCTGACTGGACGACCCCCCGCGAATCTACCGGCGTATCCCTCGTGGTCACGGTCAGGTAACCAGTGACGCCGAACAAAGCGGGGGCCTACCATCAAGCCACGCCTACCGCGGTTATATAAGACCTCACCTGGCCTTCGTCGCTCTCTTTCTACTTACCGCCACCAGCAAGCAACATCTCTCAACAGCTCCATACACACGCTCCCTCAGAAAGCTCCTCGCCCTACAGGAACTCTGAGCAAGCTTCGCCCGACTTAGTATCTCTTTAACACTGTGCTGTGCAACAATATATATACGAGAAACACTGTGATTTTCTATTTCTACCTCAATCCTGAGTGTTGGATACATTTCATGTACGTACGTTGTGAGGCCAAATAAGAGACCCTGACAACCTGCCACGACAGTACGCTACAATACACCTCAATTTGGTTTCCCCTTGCCCGTCTGTAGTATAAACTAGGCAATTTCAGGCACTCTAATCTCTCAGGGTAGCTGAGGTGCCGTAGTGCAGGTACCAGTCTGGTGGCCCCCCTTTGGACATTTTCAACCAACTGACAGTCCCAAGCATATCTCGGGAACCAGACGGGGTGACAGTACTCCAGACGGGGAAGCACTTCACTCTTGAAGATCGTTACCACCTTCTTATAAGACTTCATAAGTTAGTTGCCTGATTTACCTTCTTCTCGCAATGGCCCGAGAGCTTTAGCTCATTGTCAACGTACACGCCTAGGTCCTTTTCACATTCAGTCTCAATTAATGCAGTTTTTTCGTCCCGTTGTGACATAGGATACGCCTCCTTGCCGTTGGTACGTTCCGGGTGCAGTCTCTTACACTTCTTTAGTTAACTATTTTTTATCATTTACTTTATGAATGAGATACTTTTACTTCTACTTGAGTACATTGAACTTTGGATACTTTTACTTCTACCTGAGTAACATTTGGTCAATGTAACAATACTTTTACTTAAGGAACAAAGCCCGTTACTTTTTACAACTCTGGGGAGTTGTAGGAGTAGAAAAAGGTGCCGTGGTTTTAACATGGCTTGCCCAATGGCTCCGGCAGCGACAGCAGGGGTGGCGAAGGGTGGGTTGGGTTTCCTTTGTAAGACTTCCATCGCCAATAAAGTAGCCCAAAATATACAAAAAGGTAAACAATGCAGACAACACACGTAGTACGTCACAGTGGCGAGAGTCACCATCCCATCATTAAGCAAACAAACTAAAATAGATATCAAATGTCGCCAACTGCGCCACGCTAAACGCTTCGAGTATAACTTCCTTATTAGATATTCCTTAGATCCCCGACACCAGCGCTATAATTTGAACAAGCCATCGGCAAATCATGTAATTTTACTTTATGATGATTATAATTACAAATCGTTTCACTATTGTTACTATGATAAAGAGGTTACGTTACCTTACTAAAGCGAATACGAAATCTGGTCAAAAAGGCTGAAATTATTATACCAACGAGAATTAGTTATTATCGCACTGAAGGCGTCAATATAATCGAAACCAAGTGGCTAAGTTATCATAATCAAGGTTTAACGTAATACAGGTTCAAGGAATTAAAATGATCACACGTAAATAATTACATTCAAGGGGTTATCTCGTCGTACTTTGGTGACAAAATTATAGTACTCGAAATGTTGAATCCACTGCCACTCCAGAAACTCCCAAGAGTACAAGACTTAATGTTGTGGCAGGTCAGGTTGGTTCAAGGGGGCGTGGTGTCCCTTCCTCCTTAAATCCCCAGTGTGTGACCCCCTAACACTCACCCTACACCATCAGGTCTTGTAGTCGCCCTTATCACGACCTCAGTGTGAAGAAATGAATGAATGAATGAGAAAGCTCCCATTCAAGGCTCTTGGTTGGTTAGAGGAACGCGCGTGCTCACGGAAACATACACTGGTTTACGGTATATCACCCTGGCCTCATTAAAGTACAAAAGCACATATATAATGGGATTGTTTGAGAAATTATTAATTGTCTTTCAACTATACATAGACCTCAACATGGATAAAACAACAAGATTATATTAAACATTTATAAAGCAGTGTATTTCAGTGATAAGATTAAATGATGTTAGTTTTCGTCTATCTCAAACTGTATGTAAACGGATAAATATGGGAGAACTATGGTCAGGGTCGTCTTCTCGCTGATACTTAAAAAAATAAAAATAAAACAATATCTGAACAGGACTACCAGATGAGTGAAACTACAAACAATAAATCAATAATGGCCTGTAAGTATTATTTATCTGCGTTGAGAGCACAATGACTCCTCGAAATTTATAGTAAAGTGAAATAATATCAACACCTTAGTTAAGACTATGTCAAATGTGGAAGGATGTTAATCTGTTATGAAGGGCCACTGATTAAGGAAACTGTCTATTCTTTCCCGAGGTGTTCTGTGAAGTACAAAAAAATGAAGGAATTTCGTGATCTTCCCCTTTCCTCGCAGTCGGTTTACGTCGTGTGCCTGCATGGTTTGTCCGCCCTATTCCACAAATCAATGCTACTTATTTCAGTGTAAATTTAATTATAACAGTTAATCTAATAATAAACTCTTGTTACGAACGAGATCTTGAAAAATCAGATTAAGTATACATACAGCACAATCAGTATAAATCCCAAACTACAACTGTCTTTGTAACAAGTTCAACGCGTAGGTAGGTAAGTCGAGTGTAAACCTTCATAAGTCCTCATGCCTCAATAGCATCTTTATGAACATATAACATTAAATATTTCAATATATTCATTGGTCTTAATGTAGTTATAATTTGATTTTATGCATAAAATGGGTGAACACTCAACGTAAGTCCTGTACAGAATTACCCCCACTCTCCCAGGCACCTCTTTGTGCAAACAAACGGATCTAATTTGTCCTGTTGGTCGTTATTTTACTTTGGCAGACTTTAGTGTGTACATTCTTATTCTTGCTGAGTGGGTGAGTGAACAGCGAGGATAAACAGTGGTGTGTGTGTAGCCTCAGTTGGAGCAAGTGTTGAGGTCACCGCCACCACACACCTACAGGTGCTAATTAATCTGGAAGCCCTCCTCTCGCCTGGCCTGACCTCAGGTCCTGTGGGTTCAAAGGTCAACTGTGGGCAGAAACAAGCGACAGCGGTAGGACATCATTAATAAGACAATGAGACTTAGGAATTAAGAAACTTAAAACTAAGACGGGAGGTATGTAAAGGCCACTTAGCGTCCCCAGGCGTGCTGCCGCATGTTGACTCGCCCCGCCCTCCTCTCCTTCCCACCACCACGGTACACCACACTCAACCACCCAACACAAAAATTTTCCATCGGACAAAATGACGCCATAAATTTTTTCATCAGCAGAAACCAAATCAGAGAAAACCTAGCTGGACAAATGAACAGTATCTCACTCCTATTATAAATATGTGGACGACATTACATCACCTTACATTTCTTCTACTCTTAATGTTAACATAAAACAGTGATGGTAATGTAGATGAAAATGTTGATAACGCAATTAGTATATCCGACAAAATTAACAAAATTGTTAACGGTGTAATCTAGTTAGTGCTAACAGTGTAAACAATGTTCTATATTGTGTTGACATGTAGACGAGAATTATGACAAAACACAAAAATCTTCACAATGTTTGCAATGAACTCATAAATGTTGACAATTTACACCAGAATGTGGAAAAGACAAACGAGGATGTTTACAATGTACTCAAGAATGCGATAATGTACAGTACAGGGTGACCAAAACGTCCCTGTACACCTGCAATATAGTTGTTCCTTGTTATACCTACATTGTTATATACTTTGTTCTACTTACAGTAAATATTATGAATGGTATCCGCTTCCAACCTTTACTGTGACCATTCTTAATACTTCCTGTAAGACGAACAATAGTGTTAATTATTTTGTGAAGCTTATATTGACAAACTACACAACAAATCCACTCGTATCTGCGTTTTCTTAATTGGGTTATGTCGGGAGTGTACTTGATCGTGTTCAGTGTGAGAGCACCAACACTAGCTGATCCTCTCACTGGGTGTCAAAGATTCATATTCCTTATCGCTATAATCAGGCGACCCCCCTCCCCCGTCCCCAATCCCTGCTGGTCAATACTTGTCGACCTCTCCGCCTATAATTTTCTCTCTCAGGGCTCATTAACTCGTGTGAGGTCAGCTAGCTTGTGCTCAATTGCTGAATAGTGTAGTCATTTCAACAAGTATATTGTTGTAT